TCTGGGCGGTTGATGTATTTGTCTACAGCTGAGTGAGAGACGCAAAGCTGGTAGCCAAGGGACCTAATGAAGTCTTTTAGTAAAGGGATTACATCCATCAGGATCTCGATAAGATTGTTGGATACATACTGCAATTGCCCCTGCCTGCAGAAAAGTAAATTAATAACATTCAGCGGGGAATCAGAGTATAGGATATCAAAATGTATGATGCTGCGAATTCAGTTATTTTCGTCATTACGTCCATTAGTTACTCATTATATTTAAAAACTGTGCAAAAAGTATAAATAAATGAAATACTAGTTGATGATACATTCCTTTGTGAAAATTCGACAGGAATCCTTTTCCTGAGATAAACCACCCTTATCTGTAGACCGAGAATCGACTGACAAGAGTTGATTTTTGACCAGTAGTCATTATTAATTACAGGTAATTATACGTTTCTAGTGATGTTTTACGCGTTAGGAATGATAAATACCTAGTCTAATGATTTGGATCTGTCGCAATTCAAAACCAAAGTTTAAAAAGTGTTATCTTTATGGACATTGTTATAATAAACATTTGTACAATTTTACATAATACTTCTTGTCGGAAAAATGAGCGATACATTTACGGATGATGATATTCTTTTACTTACGAATCTGTGGGATCGAATGCATACTCTGGTTCATCTGCATCAAACGAAATATAAAGAAAAAAACAATATTACTAAGACGTTTATAGTTTCTGGACTCGGAGTTGCTATGTATTTCATAAAAAGGATGTGTTTAGAGAGGAAAAGTAATCATACTTCAAGCAACACTGTACTACTTTGTAACTACTTGCTCCCTCTATATGAGAACCATGCCTAAGCGGTGGCCGTTGGTCCCCTATGATCCTCTTTTGCTTATGTTAATTGACAGCTGAGTTGATGAGATAACAACCTGTCAGTGACCACGCTAATCCCTCTAATCCATCCTGGCCAAACTAGTACAGAGGGCCGTTAATATTTTTTGTTAAGGTTTGATGAGTGTCACAAAATGCATCATCCCCATTCCAGAAGATACGAGAAGAAAATGAATTCGTTTAAAATAGATTTCAGATCCGCTCCGGCCTATCACACAGCTGATTGTTGTAATTCCTAAACTAGGAAGGAGTGTTAATGGCATTTATTGTTTTTTCAACATTATATATTCTCCACCTCTTTCCAACTTAACCTTTAAAAAAGGGGCAATTTAACGCTAACTTGAAGGCTCATTTAAATAGTTAATATTGATCACAGAAACATTGAAGTTACGTAAGTTATAGTATGTAGGGTCCTTGAGATAACTGGCTACACGAATGACTTATGTTGGGTCTTTGAGTTAACGAGTCACAGAAATGGCTTTTGTATAGTCTTTGAGATAACGGGCTACATTTGATGAAGTGAGTTACACAAACTATCCTACCTCCTCCTGATAATATAGGCTTACCCTCTATTGAAAGTGTATCCTCTCTTTCTGCAAGAGTTGCTGACCCTTGAAGTATGTCGATATGGACGTTCTTCTTTCCTTTCTCTTCAGGAGACAACTGAAGCTCGAAATTCAGAGGGCTGCACTTTCCACTTAGTATGCTCTTGATTGGCATCTAGGTTTGAATTCGAGAGGGGAATAATTATTATTAAAAAATAATAATAAATAAAAATAAAATAAATAATAATAATAATAAATGATAACGATAATGATAGCAGCAACAACAACATGATAATAGTAATGACAATAATAATAATGCTGATGATAATACAAAGTAAACATGATAATACGTATCCAAATTTAACAGATATCTCTTCAATTGAGAGATTCTATTTTATAGAATTTAGTATTTTAAAAAAAAGAGCTCAAAACTATATCTTGTATGAAAACTGCGCTATATAAATTTATTATTATTATCATATTCAGTGAAAGAGCGCCTTTTGAGGTTCTTTGGCGTAGTTTTAGAATGCTATCAACAAGACATCCAAAGACCACCCTAGACTATAATCTAGGTGGAAAAAGAAAACGTGGACGTCTGGTAACAACATGGATGACGTTCTGAAAGGTCTTAACGTACTGAACCTGAGCAGGGGGTGTTTCACAAAGACCTAGATCAACTTTAAGTTGGACTTAAACATGACAGGCCATTCATGCCATCATTTGCTTTCACCGTTTACTGGCATTGCTCTCTGAAGGGACGTACAAATCGTGGACACAAATCTACAGAATTTTACCTTTTTTTGATAGTTCACTATTGAAGGAAAAATTATTATCAAAAGATCATATTAGAGGGACCAATGGTGAGAGCAACCAGTGGCATGAATGGCTTGCCATAGTTAAGTCCAACTTAAAGTCGATCTTAGTCTTTGCGAAATATCCCTGAAAAAAGAAGAAATCTCTTGTAGAGGACCACTGAGGATGAAGGACTATCCAACTTTATAGATGAAATAGGAGGAACCAAGTCTAAGTAAGTCTAACACGTAAATTATGTGGGGATGTGGGTGAGTTTGTGTGAAGGAGTGAAAGTAAGGGAGCGAATATATTTGAATTGATGAGATCCGAGTTCGGAATAAGGAAGAGGTTTGGTCATTCAACTCCTACTAGGTGTGTAAAAAATCTGTTTGGTCCTAGTACCACATGTCCATTACTATGTATATATGCTTCATATCCCTGAAGATCTTTATTTATTTATTTGCATCCCAGTCTAAAATAATGTTGATTTTACTGAACTAACTTTCCAAATTCCTATCGGTTTCATACTATCTACACGAAACCCTCCTTGTACCAAATGTCAATTACTATGTATAATTGTTTCATATCTCTGATGATCTGTATCTATTTCTCTGCATCCCAGTCTAAAATAAATATTTAATTTCTACTGAAATAACTTTCCAAATCTCGACTCCATGTTCATGCCTCCATAATACAATGTATCGCTCTTCAGCGTGGTTCATAATTTGTATTATCATGTCATTTTTGTTGCTGTAAAAATCATTGAGATTCTAAGTTGCCTGCAAAAGTCCATAATGTACAGTAATTTTGATAAAGTCATAACATTCATTCGAGTCGTATAACTGAATACCAGAATATATGCTGGAGAAATTGATTATTTGCCCGATTCCTTGTATTCCTACATGCTCGCATAGGTACTGTGCTAATGAGTGATATTCAATATGTTTCAGGAATTCCGATACAATTGGTATTTTAAACTAGCTATATAATTAAGCTTCAAAAGTATACTTTTTTTTTGTTCAACATTCCATTATTCAACTATTATCTAAAACACCAAATGGAATAACTTTCACACATATTTACCATTCTTTTGTTTCTTTTCGCCCCGTCTTGGTACACAATCTTTAAGTCCACTGATGTTGACCGTATGGAGAACCTGAATTCCTTCATGACTTGGCAGTAGGGTACAGAAGAACTCTTCTCCTTCCTCGTTATATCCTGGAATATGAAACATACAACTCATATCTGGATATGGCAAAACTGTAGGCCTTTTGTAGGCCTAACAAAAATCATATAAATAACCATCATTTACACACATGTAAAGCTCATTTCGATTGTTTGAACGTAACAATTAAATGTTAGAAATAAAATGTTCAATAAGCAGTCAGAAAATTAGTTTTATTATTGAAGAGTTTCGTTCAAAAGTATGTTTACATGTTCGGATTAATCTTCTTACATCCACAAAAAGAAGTAGCTAAATGCACTGACACTGCACTAAAGCATAATATTCACCGATAACAGGAGTATCAGGACATTAAAAGTGTATGGTTCCAAAACTTTCTACATCCCTATTTCAGGCTAATCACAAAACTCTACGTCGTGTATGAATGGTCAAATTGTGTTCTGATCCCCATTATCTGATACTACAAGCATCATAGTAAGATAATGTACAAGATTGTTCCATGAAATAACATACTTGGCATGTATTCTGATAAAGTATATTACTTCAGTAGTCTTTACTCCAGACGAAGATTTGTTTTCATCTGGTATTTCAATACAAAGCAATAATTTGAACAATTTATTCGATTTAAGCAAGCACAATGTAAACATTATAATTTCTGGAGTTATGAAAATGGCCTTAATCTGTACCCAACTAATATTGGTGTAAATGTACAGTATTTTACCAATCTATATAGTGCATTTTCGAAAGAAAACCTATACCACAACAATGCTCCCCGACCAGCTGCCGCCATTTTCTCGCCTTTACACCCCTCCCTTGGACTGCCTTTTCTCTCTTCCTTCCTTCTATTCTGCCCACCCTTCTCTACGAACTGTATATACTGTGCATCATTCTCTTCTCATTCCTCCCCTCTCCATCCGCACACCCTTCCGCCCCTTCCTCATCCAACCTTCTTACTTCCATCACCCCCCTTCCCAAACCCCCATCCTTCCCTCTTACCCAGATTAGATTATATGATATAAATACCTCTATGTAGTTCCTATAGATGAATTATGTATACACGTAGAGTTGGTTTCTCTGCATGGGTGATGCAGAGAGGCTGGAAGACTACACATCTCAGCTGGAGTCCTTGAAGATCAGTCGATGACAGAGCCCACAATTGAAGATGACGTGTTCGAAACTTAATCTTATTTTTTAAGATTTCTGACGTGCGCGGAGTCAGGTTTCTACGACCGACCGTTCCTTTGAAATAAGAAATTAAAGATTTACCAATATTACAAATATTTATTAAACTATCTGACTCCTTGGTAATATAGGCTTGTACAATATTGATTACAAGTAGAGTAGGAATTGATTTTCGACTCAGTTTATATTCTGGTATTTGACTGGATACGAGTTAAGTTCATCGAGTTGATTCAAATGGCATAATCCTACTTCTTCTTTATTATTGAGAAATCATTCAATAATACTTTTCACCAGCTTATCATTTAATAAATGGATTCTCATGACGGAAAGAGTATCATATCTGTGTAATTAAATCCGTTATTCCTAGTCATTTGTCAAATGATTAGGATTCGAATTTCAAGTGATGATGTTTACTCTTATTTCGAGAGGACAGAATCAAAATATGTAGATAGCTTTGTACCTGGTCCAGTTCTTGTATACAAGATAACAGAAGAGTCCTCTGTAAGTTCACGGTGATTGGTACAGTGTGATATTACCACCGTGGCAGGCTTGAGCAGTTCTTGTGTCAGAGAACCTTCTACGACTGGCGTAATGACTACCTCACCCTCGCGTACAGGAATCGTTGGAGTATCATGAGTTGGGATACGAAGAGTTACGACTGATCTCATCCCTTTAGGTATAGCTCCTTCAGGGATAGATACGGTAATATCAAGTTCATCGAAGGTCAGTTCTCCACCCTTAGGATCAATGATGCCATGTGAGATGAAAGGCATATAGCTTGGTTGGCATTTCATGGCTAAGGAGGATGAGAAGGAATCAAGTCATTAATGACCCCACGTGAAACATGTAAAAAAAAAATACTTAATAGTTTATTGTACAAAAATATCAAGTAGTGCCAATTTTTTTCGAAGTCATTTTCAAAAGCAGACACTTTTGAGCGCTTATTGTGTAAAGTGATTGGGAAAGAAGCGTGGAATAAAGTATTTTTGTAGGGGTTTGAACAAAAACATTTCACTCATCTTGAGTCAGGATTTGATTGGAGTTTAACAGAATTATAATCTCGCTTTTCAGAATGTATTGTTATTAGAACTCCGCTAAATAAAGTAAAGTATGCATGGTCAATGTTTTAAAATATAGAAATCATTGGCAAAATTTCCGAGATGCTCTTTCAAAATTCGAACAGGTTAATGAGTGGTACCCCACGCTTCTAGTTCTGGTTGATGACTGCAAAATTCAAACAAATTAATTAGTGGTATACCGCGGTACTTTGGTATGATTGATAACTGGTGAACGGATAATTTCCTTTCTATTGTGTGTTTCCTCATCTAGCAACGCGGCTAATGATTTCTTCTTCTTAGAAAGATGTTAAATAGTGATAAATGCTCCTGCCTATTTCATGATTTTCTCTGAATGGGAAATGTCGGTCAATAGTAAGTAAACAAAATGAATCTGTCAAACAATTTGTTTTCTTCCACTGATCAAGTAGGGCTCCACCATTTAAAGTGACTTGGTGAAATTTGATGAAAAAGTTGCATAATTTGTGTATGAAATTTTACTTATTTTATTCATTCTACTGTACTAACCCTCTAACTAGCCTCTTGTCGATGCCCTCGCGCTGTTGGAGTCTCTAAATTCTGACGAGCGAAGCGAGTCAGAGAAACCGAGGCGCTTGCGCGGAGGGCCTCTTGACAAGTGATCTGAATTATATATTTATGAGACCCGATTTCCTACTGAATTATGCATGTCTAGACCGCAGCGATTGTGTGTGTGTACGTGTGTGTTCGGGATTGCCCAACTAGGCTAGTCTGCAAGCACAGACCCTAATTTGACACTTTATCAAAAAAAATCATTGTGCCTTGAGAGAAGCCTAGCCCAGCTATCTACTGGTACCTACTAGTTGTACCAATATAGGTCAGGAGCAGCTATAGTACGTGGCATATGGTAGTCTTATAGTGCACACTCTCTTTTACGACTGACCAGGGTTTGTGCTTGCAGACTACAACTAGGCGGCCAGTCTTGCTCTCACGGAGGGAATTCGCACAGAGCGGTATATATTACGTCATAGTAGCTCTCTCTGATTGGATGACTTTCACCGAACTCTGCTGGGTCGGAATATTCGCCAAACAAAGTAAAACATAAGAAATTCAGATCACTTGTCAAGAGGCCCTCCGCGCAAGCGCCTCGGTTTCTCTGACTCGCTTCGCTCGTCAGAATTTAGAGACTCCAACAGCGCGAGGGCATCGACAAGAGGCTACCCTCTAACCTGCAAAAAATCCTGGAAAATTCTCAAACCACAAAAATATCTATGGTTTTCTTTGAAGGTGTCACAGTGCAACACTCTCTAACAGTGATTAACAGTAAATTCTCCCAACCACTTTTGAATTTTCCCAACCGTTTTTGCATGAAAAAAGACATAAGACAGGCTTTTAAAAAATCTTTCAACACTTAAATTTCTGGAATGGTGTATAGAGCCAATTCATTGATTTGTGACGATTAACATTCACCTTAAATGTAATTAAATTTTAATATTATAGTAGGGAGAACTAAGGAATCAATCAGATCAGTTTTTCCCAATTTATATCATTAATAATGGTCCGTTTTCACTCAAACTTTCAGATTATCTTAAATTGTACATCTAGCATTGGCGTCACTAACTTAGCACCACTTTCTCGCATGTGAAAAATGTTACCAAGTCCCTTTAATGTAATGTGAAACAAAGTGGAGTTGGCATTACCTTCTGCTATCTTGACTGCTGCATCGTTGAAACGGAAAGCCTGAGCAACTTCAAGAAGCCTCTCTTTAGCCCCTCCCTGGTGTACCCATTCTTTAAGCATCTTTAGAGCAATACGGCCAATTATGTGAGGCGGGAAGGTCACGAATGTGCTCATGATCTTCAAGACGACAGAAGGTTTAACATCCAGGCGATGACACAAGTCCAGTAGGTCTGTCTTGGATCCAATGGCTTTTGAGATTTCTTCAAGGCCTGTGGACACTGAACAAAAACGCATATTTCAATGTTAAGGTAAATACCCTTGTTAATATATAAAGCATAGTGATGGTGATGAATGAGAACATTGACGGCGCCCAAGATAATGAAATAAACTGTAAAACATTGATACATTTAAGGACCAGTACCGAACTTGTACTAACATGTATTTATAAATAATGTCCATGATTTATAAATACATGTTAGTACAAGTCTTTACGTTCTGAAAATCTTCTGTACTGCTGTACATCCTATTGATTTATTGCAAATAAATGGAATAAATGGAATGTGAAGAAGAAAACAATGAAAGAGGAGTTTGAACTAGAAACTTTTCTTTAAAGGTGGGAAACTATTATTTCATTATCAACACGATTACGATTGAACTCGGCCTTGGATGCTAACGAACCTGTTTTGACATCTGTGATGTTAAACTCAGAGAGAAGCTCATCAAACTTATCTTCTATTTCTCCCTCTTTCAAACCATTCCACCAAATGTCTACGAGCTGTCGTGCGATCTTATGAAGTACTGACGAACTGGGGAGATCGATGAATCCAATAATGAGGTCATCATTTAGACGAAGGGCTTTCCCAAATGAGCACGCTAGTGGCAGACTTTTCACTGGTAGAGCGACGCTGCAAAGCTCTTCCGTGCTTGGTGTTCCCCCACATTGGTCAAGGTCATCAATAATTGCATATCGCTCTACATCAAAATCAAACGATGAAAATCAATTAATATTTGATATCGTTTTTTATTGTTGTTTATATATTGATCATGCCCACTGGAATTGTGTTATATAAAGGGTATGTATATAATGCTATCATTTTCCTAATCATATGAAATAATTATTCTGTTATCTACCCGTATCTGATGTTGTAATGATATCCATATCTTCAGGCTCTAGAGGATCGCTTGGTTTGGATGTAATCGCCGGAGAGGTCACCGGAGAGGGCGCTGGAGATTTCACCGGAGAGGTCATAGGCAAGCTTTCGTCTAAGATGAAAATATATAAATATTAAACAGCATGTGTGTCATGACAGTCATACGGACATGACTGCTAAGGCTTTAGTTTTACGTTGTTTGTGCACTACAGAAGTTTTCTCCTATATCCTATGTTTTAGTGAGTGTAAAGAGGGCTCCGCCTCAGCTCGTCTGCTCTTGTGGGACAAGGTTTTGACACGTCAAAATGATAGTTGTCAAAATTATAGTTGTAGTCAACCTGAAGCTTAAAAAAAATTGTATTATCACCAAACATTTCGAGTGTATAATACCATTGAAAACAACGATGAATTATTTAAGATGTCTGTTCGTTTCTCCATTTCAAGGACCAATTATATAGGAATCAATATATACAAGAATTATATATAGCTATTATTTATTAACAATGAAGAGGAAAAATTGCCTGTATCCTGAGCCGTAGATGCCAAGGAGACAGATTGCCAGATGCACTTCAACGTCTTAGTCGCTTCAGGACCTGGTCTTTGAGATGCCTTCCACATGCAGAGCATTTGGATGTTAGCGTCTTTGCGATTCTGCAATGTCTTGTGTTTGATGTTCTCAAGCTTATTCGTACTGAATCCAAGCTTTCTGCCAACCTCCATAAAGTCCGTCCACTTGATATGGCGAGCCAATGTAAGCAAGTCTTGGTCAGAAATGTCACTAAACATATTGAGAAGAAATTATGCTTATTGTACTAGAATCAAAGCTAATCTTGACTTCTAGTTAGTGAAATGCTTTTCGACAGAACTGTTATCCAGTCAGTTGGATTGTGGTCATGGATAACTCGATTGCTTTGACAAGTAAAACGTATATAAATTAAGCCATGCATGATTGAAAATCAAATCAATTAGAAGCGTTATCCGCTTGACACGAGGTCCGGACGGATGCCGTTTTGTAACGTTTGTATTCTTTCGTATTTTTAATAAGCTTTAAAACATTTCTACTTTATTCATCTGACCAATATATAATTAATCGTAATTAATATCAGAAGGGTTTATGTAAGTTTAGATGTGTGAAATTTTATTTTCGTGTCATATCACAAAAGATTACCTTTTAGATTTAAACGTTATTAACTCTTGTAACTCTTCTCCAAATCGCCTTTGTTTTTCCCTATCTTTATATTTGAAAAGACAAATTACATAAGGTCACCAAACCCTTTTAATAGAACCAAGTAACTGTAAAATGGCGATTTAGTTGGACTAACTATATACAGAATGGTGAGTATGCTTCAAGATTGTTGCAGTTAGCCTTTATACGTCACAGTGTTGCCTATTTGAAGAGCTCGGTTCCAAAAGGTATACATCCATAAATCCAATTCTGAGAAAAACACGATTTTTTAATTATCATAGTTAGCAATGTCTGTTTCGAATGATACTTTGGCTGATTATTCTATTGTATGATACAAGTACATTACCACTCTTTAAAGAAGTCTGCAGAAATATTTGTCATGAATTTATGTTTTTTAAATTGTTGTGGATGTAGTACCTTTTGGAACCGAAAACTTTCATACTATATGCAAATTACAATGCATGACTTGAATAGTTTAGTGCCAAGAGGATCGGTACAACTTTACATTATCATGACAAGACATGCAATGTATATAAATGGATATAATACCCTTTGCAACCGAACTGAATTTTAAATGCCATTTGTTTAAATATTTTCCAATTGGAAATTCAGCATTTTGAAAGTGTCACTGTATGAGGCTACTGGAAATGTGTACATTTATGCAAACAAGTCAATTTTGATTTAAACAATGAATGCAGTACCTTTTGGAACCGAGCTCTTCATTTGTGTATTACTGATGACATCATATATGATATATTATTGTCCTATTTTAATCGAATATTATTTTAATAATAATAATAATAATAATAATAATAATAATAATAATAATAATAATGATAATAATCTTTTAAAACTTATAAAGCTCTTACCAATTTGTTTCGGTAATTGTTCGGCTTTTATTTATACTAGCTAAGAGTAACAGTTTTCAGTTAGGGTTGCAGTAAAGTTTAAGATTAGATTTACGGTAAGGGTTAGTGACCAAATAAAATTCTTACCCGGTCGGAGTGATATCTGAAGTACGGTGACCAAATACAATGTACGTCATTGGTGCATTGAAAAGAAATTAAATATAGTTAAATGAGATTCTTCGGCACAATCACAAATGATTCACTGAAATAATGTATTAATGTATGTTTGTTTATATTTTAATTTTTTTCTTCTCAATTTCTTCCCTCCATAATTGGCAATGTATTTCAGAAGAAAAGAAATATTCACACCCTGTGGTTCTTACTACTACAATAATCATTAATAATGTCAATGTTATTATCATCATCATTACAAATATGTAATTTTCATTATTCATTGTTATTTTTGGTGTTGCTATCATTATTAATTATTACCATCATTAAAATCATAACTTTTTATTCTATTTAAGTTTCTATTGCAGTGCCTTCATTTTGAATAATAGTAATGGCAATAATTGTTACCATCATTAAAATCATAACTTTTTATCCTATTTAAGTTTCTATTGCAGTGCCTTCATTTTGAATAATAGTAATGGCAATAATTGTTTATCAGGTTGGTTTTCTGCTTTTACAGTACGTTGCAGTTCTTTAAAGGAACGTAAAATTATCAGAAAGGGTTATCTTCAGTAAGACTTATAATGTTGTTATATAGAAACAAATTTCGCTACACTAATGTTGACTATGATCATCATTAGCGTCAAACTATTTTTTTCCCATAGCAACGATCGCCAAAGTGTAAATAAATCAGAAGATTAGTACAGATCTATACACAGGTTTAGTACTATATACTTTGAGTCATCAGGCATTAGTGTTAAGCGTCTGCTGATAAATCTAATTGAGTAACAGTGAAACCTGTCATTTTCGTCTCTTCTGCCGCTGTTTCTGCAGACTTCAGGAGTGAAAGAAGCACATCCTTGATGTTTTGATGTGGTAGTTGTCTCTCTTTCCATGTTCTCAACATTTCGCAGATGGCCTCATGTCTGTCTTTGAGCCTCTTATACTCTATTGCATCCAATTCTTGTATTTGGAAACCAAGTGCAACTCCAAGGTCATAAAAGTCGTCTATCGAAAGCTTTTCAGCGATTTTCTGGACATCTTTATCAAGAAGATCATTTGGAGAAGTTCCTTCGATTTCTCTGTAAAACAAATACATGTTACTGTATCTTAATTTGAGTTACTATGCATTTCCTGTATGGTGTTGCATTATAAAATGTTAAAGAACTTCTGAATTCCGTTAAAATTTCATACGACAGGAAAGAGAAAGGCAAGAATATGAATACCTTTTTTTTCAGACAATAGGCCTCGTGTCACTTGATATTTTAAACGAAATTGTATTTGAACGTAAAGGGAAAAGTGTCGTCATACGCCTTAATTCAACTTTTGTAATAAATGTGAATAGAATAAAAACGACATGCTTACCGAACAATTGAAGTAAATTCAGGACTCTTGATTTCCTCTGTAATAATTTAAAACCATTTAAATCATTTATTGTCCCAAGTAAATGTCCAGACAAAGACGATTCAGATGAATGAAAACTATAGGTATTAGTGAATATGTAATGTCTACAAATTCATTTCAACTGAGTGTATGTCCATATTGACCAAAATACCTTCGTTTCATAAGAAACTCTCCAAAAAGCTGATAAGAAAACAACTTCATAATCTGCCTGCACAGCTATATCTTTATACGAAATTGACAATAAGGTTCATTGCCCGGAGAAATGCTTTCATGTTAAGTCAATTTGATGAAATTAACGGCCGAAGAATGTGAAGGAAAATTAACTTGCCAATTAAAAATGAACGTGGACGAAAATAACAACGAAACATTAGTCAATCTCTCATTATTGCATAACTGGGATGGGTTACAGATTGAAACAAACCTTTGTATTTCATGACGAAGGCCATTGATCGAGACATTCCTAGTTTCCCAGACTGTGTAATTGTGACGGTTATCACGTCTTCACTCGGAGGCACTTGTAGCACTACATTATGTCTCATTCGGTTGTGAATTTCCTTTACAGAGAGCAGCTAATGGAAGAGAAATTAGAGTATTAAGAAACTTTTTTTTTCATCTTCAAAGTAACAAGAAAAGGGGTTCGATATCCGTATTAACGATGTTATGTTACTATTCATTTGCTTTATTCATATTCTTTATCCGTTAGTCCAAAGGAAGCGGCTCTTACTAATTGGAGGGGCTAAAGTGCGGCGCGGCTCGGCGCGCTGGCCAAAAATTCTTCTCGGCATTCTGATCCAAAGTGACCCGAAACGGTCACAAATTAAGGTTCGTACCAATCTCCCTGTTCGTACGAATATCAGAATTCGTAAAGATTCGTACTCTCTAAAAAAAAAAATCGAATGATCACTGACGTTACTCCTCTGGAGAGTGAAAATGTATTGAAAATAGAGTGATCATTCACTCTTTTCTTCTTAGAGAGCACTCGTAAATCAATCGATATTCACTCCTAAACAAGTCGTCGCTGTTTTCACGAAGTGACGGTAGTGAAAAAAAATTGCATTCACTTTGCGTGACGATTTTCCTCACTACCGTCACTTCGTGAAAATAGGGACGAAGTGATCCCTGACGTCACTCCCAAGAAAGTAAAAATAGACTGAAAATGCACTCTCTTTTTTTAGAGAGAATAGATGGCGCACTGTTTCTGACGTCCTTCTTACGGAGTTCGTGCGAACGCCGTTTAAGTTTTCTTAAGAATGACTTGAGTTGCTACGTCAGACTAACGGCCATCTTACGAATTTTTGTTCTCGCAAGATGGTCGTATGCGTAACTGACGACATTCTCAAGTTATTCGTAAAAAGATCTTAACATATTTTGTGTATTTTGTCGGGTTCCCAAAAAGCGACGCATGAATTGGAAACATTGTGTACGTACACCTTACGAGCACCTTACGAACGCCAGGAGCCATTCGTACGAAGACCATATTAATATACGTCCGTAAGCCGTTCTTACGAACGC